AATACTCAAAGTGGCCAGCAAAATCATTATGATAATTAAGCCGCAAACCCCGCACTCACCAGCACTGATGATGTTACCTAGTTGGCTAATGAAATGTCTGCAAGCAAACAACCAAGCTCAGAGAGCACCAAGGACTCCACAAGATAATTAAAAACAGAATTGAAAGCACAACATTTAAAACCACAATGTTAAAAAAAATTAAAAATGCATACTTTGTTTTTGCAACTTATATGCTCCTTCATTTCTGGAGAGAGATTACTGTATTAAGAACAAAAATAAATTAATATAATTGTAATAAATCAATCTCAGGTGCCACCATTCAGCGACAGCATGTTCTTCCTCGTCCCCAAATACCTTTTTGAACAGTCATGTTTTTTATGGCTCTCCAGAAATAAAGTAGGGAGAGGTAGTCTGGATATCACTAGATCTTCAAATTACTTGATGCCTTCAATATGCTATAAGTGTTTTTTAAAATACTATTATATGGGTTTTTGACCAGCAAGGCAATATTAACTTAGTTGTAGTGGTATTATATCTTTACAATTTCAATAAATTAGTTTCATTAGTCTTCCCAGTTTAATTTTTGTCTCCACTGTCAGATATTGTATTATTTCTCTTCTCTTTTTTATCTTAGGTAAAAGCTTTCTGTACAATAAGATATTTATTTAGTTCCTCTTCTGAATTCCAGTGTTTTCATTTTCTCATTAATTTTTTTTTTTTAAATGTACTAAATAAATACGATAAGAGCAACAGTTTGAAACTTGGATTTCAAGGTCCACATCCAATACCCTGCAACATGAAATGGATTTTCTTACAGAAGATAATCTGAGATTATTTTCACTCCTGCTAGTTTCACTGAAAACAAATGGAACAAATTTATGTCCTTTTCCAATAGCAACAAGAAAACCCCTACTCCTACTCTATGGTAAAGGAAAGTGAAAATACATTATTTACACTCTCATTCACATTACATTCACATCCCTTACTACAAGTTACATATGTGTATTTATGTATGGGTGAGTGTGTGCATGTGTGTGTGTGAATATACACACACATATCCATACATACATACATACACACACTGTTGTAGAGGCTTTCTATTGTGTGTTTCTGCGTGCGTGCACATATAAAATATTTAAATTATTTAATTAAAAAAACCTCTACAACAGTTAAGCTTCCTTTTCCATTTCCATTGAAAAATCCATTGAAAAACTCAGTAGTATGATTACAGCCCAAAAGCCAGGAGACAGACTGAAGCAAAGGTTTGCACAAATGAGAAAATGGCTCCCCCACAAGCTTCACAGCATCTTAACAAACTAACTAGCTCAACAATAGATTCAAACAGAATGCAGATGAGCTGGACATCTAAGCCAAGCCAAGCAAGGATGCTGTTGGGGGACTGAAGGGATGTAAAGCTGACCTGGCAGGATATGGAGATTACATGCAGAGGCGCCTACATGTTAATAACTTGAATCGCCATTTTCTTTACTTGGGGAAGCAGGGGATTTTGTTGGAGAGGACAAGGCTGTCTATTAGAGAAATCTCAGTATCTCACTAAACTATATTTTTCAGAATTTTTTTTAAAACACCATTACAGTTAACTGGCTATAAAGTGTGTGTGTGTGTGCGCCTGTGGAAAGGGGAAGGAGGGAAAGTGTAACATAGTGTAGACAGACCCTTGGATCACAATAATTCCCAAATGAAATGTGTTTACTTCTGATTTTATCAGTGAAAAACTTTGGTTGGCAAAAGAGTAGCCACATTCTGTAAACTTGAGAAATCTGCTGAAAGAGACAGAGAGAGGTCAGTTTTCCATATGTATATGGAGCCCTTTTAATCATATACATGAACAAAATTAGTTCGACAGTTTAAAATAAAGTGAATCAAGGTAGAAACTTGCAAGATGTAGCACTGGTAACTCATTTTTATCAGCACTAGTATTATGTCATACACACACACACACACATTAACTTTAGTGCATATACAATCAATAAAAGGAAACAAAGCTTTCTGAAACATCTCTTTCATTTTAGTCAACCCAAAACTTCCGCATAAGGAGTTTATAGTGCTTGAGTTTATTGGCGAGCTATTTTTTGTTGCACTTAGTAGGTCGAAATCCAGCTCATAGTTTGCATGTGGGAGGCGGAATCTTCAATCACACAAATTTCATTAAAAAAAATATTTTAAGTAAACATTGATCCAATATGTTGTCTGTGACAGACCACGCAGATAGAAAAATCAGTAAATCTTCCATGTGACATTATGATTAAAAATATGTAAAGGAAAAATTCTGATGTTCCACAATCAAAACACATTAGCTGGAAAACTAATCCTGGATATTTCATTAAAATGTTTAACTTCTAAGTACGCATAGGATCCCAACTTAAATTTTATACACATTAAAGCTGTTCCTTTACAGGACCCAATTCTTTTCTCAGGAAGTAAGCCCTTTTAATCATACACTGTGTGCACAATTATTAGGCAAGTGACTATTTTGACCATATCATCATT